AACAGTCTGCCTTTTCTTGTAGCACCATGACAATGGAAGAGCTGCTGATATCTCTACAGAGGAAATGTACAACTGAATGTAAAGAAGCACATCGGCAGCTAGTTTGTGCTCTCAATGGCTTAGCAGGCATCCATATCATTAAAGGTAGAATGTGATTGCTTTGTGATGTCCGATTCTTCTGAGTATTTAATGAAGATTAGTTATAGTAGTAATCAAAATCACCCAAGAAAGATTCTCTCACACACTATGATCTTAATTTAAATAGGTTCAACCTAATAGAAAGCAGTTGTGTGGAGCATTTCAAAACCATCAAAGTTTTCATATGCTTTACACTTTTAGAAGCTTTTTTTTTTAGGGAAATTAGGATATGAACAACGCTTTGGCTCTATGTCATTAATCTTAGTCTATAACAGTGAACAACTAAAAACAACCAAAATGTTTAGAAATAGAAGAATAGTTAAATGTTGACACATCCAAAGGAATGTTGGTCATTGATTTACAAAATAATGTTGTTTGTAAATTCACTGTTTGAACAAATATTAGAGTATCTGCTATGTGCCAGGTATGATCTAGGTCCTAAAGATGATACAGTAAAACAAAGGATAGTCTCTGATCTTGTATACCTTAATTAAAATCTTAACAGGAAGCAAATACATACATGTATGTGTCTATAGTTATGGTGTCATATAATATGCATAAAATTTAAGCAGGTTTAGAGAATCTTCTATTTCGTGGTAAGGTGTTTACTTGCCATACCCGTCTCTCAGGGATCACTGTTTTTTTGTTGCCTGACGTCGAATATCTAACAAACTATTTCATACGTTTTGTCTATTATTTTAGTTGCTTTAGGGAGAAGGATTAATCGATTCTCTATTATTCTGTATTGGCCAGAAGCAGAAGTTGTTTAGATAACAGGTTCTATTAATGAACACCATTTAGTAAACACCTTTCCATATAAATACAAGAATCATGAGTACTGTATTTCATAGGTTCAAGAGTAAAGATTAAACATGTTAAGTAGAGGTATTGAAACATATACTTGGATTAGAGATGAAAATTTCAGTGTGTGATACACTTAATAAACAGCAGATTTGATACCAGAATAAATGATCACCAAAGTCAAAGAATAGAATAGCAATAGAAACTATGTAACATGAAGAAAATAAGGACTAGAAAATTTGAAAAGAGCATCAATGAAATTGTAGATAACTTCAGCTGGACTAATATAAATGTATTAGAGTCTCTGAAGAAGAAAAAATAATGTGAAGAAATATATTGTGGAGTTTATAACATGTAAATGTGAAACCAACAGCAGAAAGTCTGGATGAGGACAAACAGATATACACAGTTTTTATGCTATATATGAAGTGGTATAATATCACATGATAGTAGATGATAAGTCAAAGGTATGTGCTATACACCCTAAAGCAACCACTGAAAAACACAACAGAGTTAAGATAATAATCTGAGTGAGAAGATAAATAGGAATAATAAAAAATTCTCAATCTAAAAAAAGGCAGAAACAAGAAGGGAATAAAAAACAGATGAGACAAATAGAAAACAAATAGCAAAAGTTTTAAACCCAAGCATATCAGTGGTCACATTAAATGCAATTGTCTGAATTCCCTAATTAGTAAACAGGGATTTTCAGAATGGATTTCTTCCAGAGTGGATATTCCGTGACTACAGTAGAATTAAATTTATCAAACAGAAAAATAACTGGAAAATCCCCAAATATTTGAAAACTAAATAATATACTTCTAAATAACCATTGGGTTAAAGGATAAATAAAAGGGAAACTGGGAGTATTTTGAAGTAAGTCAAAATGAAAATAACATGTATCAAGATTTCTAGACTGTAACAAGTTAGTAATTAAAGGGAATTATAAGACTAAACACTATCATGAAAGAAAACAGTTTTAAGTCAGTGACTTCAGCTTATAACCTTAAGAAGCTAAAAAAAGAACAAATGAAATACAAAGTCAGCAAAAGACAGGAAATAAAGTGATCATGAATCAATCAAAAGGAAAACAAAACCAATAGAGAAAAACAGTGAAACCAAAAGCTGATTTTTAAGAAGATAAATAAAAATTTATAAACCTCTAGTCAAACTGTTTGAGAAAAAGGAGAGTCAGATTACCATGATTAGGAAATGTGAGAGGTGACATTACTATAGATTCTAGAAATATTTAAAAATATAAAGGAATTTTATGAATAACTTTATATCAGAATTTTGATAACTCACATCAATGGACAAATGCTTTGGAAGACACAGACTACCAAAGCTTACTCAGGAAGAAAGGGATAACCTGCATAGCCCTGAATATATTCAAGAAATTGATTTTGTTATTAAAAAACCACAAAGAAAATTCTAGGCTCAGATGACTTCATTAGTGAATTCTACAAAACTTTAAGGAAGAAATGATATCAAGTCTATAAAAACTCTTCCAGAAAATTGAAAAAGAATACTTCCCAACTTATTTGGAGGTAGCATTAACATCATTCAGACACAGACATTATAAGAAAACCACGGACTAGTATCTTTCAAGAATACAATGTAAAATTCTTTTAAAATTTGTTTTAAAATAAACTCAACAATATATACAAAAGAATAATACTTTATGACAAGTAGAGTTTATCCCAGAAATGCAAAATTGGCTTAATATTCAAAAATCAGTTAATATAATTTGCAAATTAATAATTAAAAAGGATAAATCTTATGATCATCCCAATAAATGTAGTAAAATTATTTGACAAAATTCAGCATCCGTTCGAGATAAAAACTTTCAGAAGTCAAGGTATTAAAGAGACCTTTCTCACTTCAAGAAAAGGCATCTATAAAAAATCTACAGTGTTATACTTAAAGGTTGAAAACTAAATGCTTTCCCTCTAAGATCATGAACAAGTCAAAAATGTCCCCTCACCACTCTATTCAGCATTGTACCTGAGTTTTCTTCAGTGCTCAAAGACAGTTAAAAGAAATAAAAGTTAGGAGATTCAGTAAGTAAAAATATAAAACTATTTTTGCTCAATATGGTTGTCTGTAAGAAAACTACTGGAACTACTAAGTTTTGCAAAGTTGCATGATACAAAGTGACTATATAAAAATCAACTTTATTCCTATATGCTAAGAATGAACAATTAGACATTATAACAACAATATCATTATTAGTATCAGAAAAATGCTAAATACTTAGACCTCAACTTTAAAAAGATGTAAAAACCTTGAAAATTACAAACATTACTGAGAAATTAACACTTAATTACACCATCTTCTGATCTTCGTGGATTAGAACACTCAGTAATATTAAGATGCTGATTCATCTGAAATTGATACATAGGGTCAGTGCGATCCAAATTGCATAATGAAAATTTATATAGAAGTTGACAGGCTGATTCTGAAATTCACCTAGAATAGCCAAAGCAATTTTGGAAAAGAACAAAATGGATGATTTACACTACTTGAATCAAGATTTATTTTACAGCTACAATAATCAAGACAGTGTGACATGATCTAAGGATAGACAAGTAGACCAATGGAACAGTAGAGTCCAGAAATAGTCCCACTTATCTGTAATCAGTTGATATTTCAACAAAGATGCAAAGGCATTTCAGTGAAGAAAGTTTAGTGTTTTCAGTAAACACTAGAACAGAAAGATATCCATATTCAAATAATTAAGCTTTAGCCATGTACCATGTAAAAATTTCAGAATAAAAAGGATATAACTAAAATTAAAACCTTAAACTATAAAACTTCTAGAAATACAAAGGATAAAATATTTGTGATTTGGGATTAGGCAAAGATTTCTTAGGTATGATACCAAATGCACAATCTATAAATGAAAAAATGATTGAGTTGGTGGAAGTTATTAATCTTTCCACTCTTGAAAAGGCACTGTTACGACAATAAAAAGATAAGACCTTGAATAGAGAAAATACTTGCAAATCACATACCTGAGAAAGGACTTGTATCAAGAATGTTAAAAGACCTACTAAAAGAATAAGAAAACTCAATGAAAATAGGCAAAATATTTGAACAGAGACTTCAGTGACTACATAGAGTTGGCAAAAAACACATGAAAAGATAGCTATTCAGCATCATTAGTCATTAGGTACATGCAAATGTAAACCGTAAGAATACTGCTATGCCCTTACTAGAATGGCTCACATTAAACATCAAATGTTGACAAGGATGTGGAAACAACTGGAATTCTCATTCATACCCTGCTGATGAGGCTATAAACTTGTACACCAGCTGTGTATCATTTCCTTAGCTTCATTTACATAACCTCAACTTACTTTTTTAGTAGACTTGGAATTAACTCAGTGCCTCTACCTTTGTATTAGAATCATTCATTTTTTGCAGAAATTTAGTTTGTATTTTCTTCATAATAACTTTTCTGGCTACCTGAACTCAAGTGCTACTTTTTTTTTGCAACTCTAATGAATCATTGAGTGCTCTTTTCAAGAACTACATCAATTTTATGCTGCCCTTGTAAAATATAAGATTGTATAGTTTCGTAGTTTTTAGATCATAGAGTTTTAAGGTTTCTTGTAGTAATGATGAAATAACTGATACAAATGTACCTTTTTATAAAACCACTTTTTAAACTTTCTCTAGCAGCTTTGGTTTAGGTAATTTGATTTTAGTCTCTCCAAAACTAAGTAGAATATAGTCCTTGAAATCATTTAAGTATTTCATAACGGTGTAATAGTGTACAGTTTTAGGCACTCTGATTATTTTGGATATACAACTACTTTATTTCTACATTCCTCACAAAATTGGGAAATGAGCTCATCATTATAGTATTACCTCTAGAAAGGCGTTTTATGATAAATTTCCACTCTTTCAGCCTTCCCACAAAAATTACTAATTTTTTAGTCTACTTAGATACACGGTCATGGAACTTACCATTCTCATTTACCTAATAAGACCTTAAAGAAATCAATTGCTCAGAGAAATTTGTGCTTTTGTAGAGTGCAAGGAAATGTTCTAAACTTCTTTCAACTGGCGGCCTGTCTTTAGTTAATTAGCTCTTCAGCATACAGACTAGAACTAGAAGTGTCTCTGATTGTCTTGAATACTTAGGTAGAGTTTAGAGCAACTCACAGTGCTGAGTAGAAGTAGTTGTAGACAAGAACTGGGAAAGATAGGGCTTATTTACTATAGTTGTAGCCTGTGGACTTAAATCATTAAAATCTAGCATCATATCTAAGAAATGATCATTTTTCAACAAGCACTTAATATGTAATACTTTCATGCATATATTCTGTTTTATCCTCATAAATGCCCAGTGGCTGAGGTATTAGCATCCCCATTTTACATAAGAAAGCTGGAGTTCTAAGAAGGCATACTTGCTTTCTCAAGATTTAGCTAGTAAATGACAGTGAATGTGCCCTGCATCTTTTGACTTCAAATGAAATGTTTAATTTTTTTATTATACCATGCCTACTTCTTTATCTATTTATAAATTTCATTATTATGATAAATTATGCTGTCTATAGTAGGTTGGAGCTCTCCATCAGAAATTTCTAACATGGAGCAATATATTACTTATAGATTGTCACAATAACAAAAATAAATTTCATATTTCCATTTTCATTTTATAAAATTACATTCCTCATTTTGTTCTCTATTGCTGTGACTTAGGAGCTTAGCGAGAGAATAAACTGCTCCACTTGGCCTTTTTTCCAGCCTCCTGTTCAGATTTATTGTATCCATTTCCCTGCTATGAAGTTATGCATGGTATAAGGATTGGGAAAAAAAGGTTATTTTTCTGATCATTTTCCAAGCACTAAGGCATCTAGCAGGATCAGTGTGTAGTTGGCTCTTGTGTGACAAAATACCACCTTGTGGCATAAAAGGAAGTACTTCACTGCTCTTTTCAGATAGTTTCCTCTGCATTCCCACTGTAGTTCATTGTCTTTCTGTGAATGGAAATCAGTTGGAAAATATTGATGATTGGTAGAATGTTTATTAACAAAGGATATGTCCATTCTTAATTTAATTTTGATGGGTTTATTGCTTTTAGTTTCCATTGCTTAACTTGATAAGGAAAAGTTAAACAATACACATTTTTAAAAATAACTTTACATATTTAACTTATATCATTTAAACTCCTGCAGTATAAAGATCAGATAGTGGAGATCTGACTTACAAAAGAAATCTAAAATTAATTTCCAACTGCATGAGGATTTGCTTATATTATATGCAAATTGGTATCTGTTATAGACAGCATATTCTAAGGTACTCACTGATTATGGTACTGAAAACATGGTGTTAATTCCAATTTTGTACAATGTGTTTTCTGCAAATATTTTTCAAGAAAATTAACTTGGCAATATCAAATTCAGTATGGTTTGTTTACTTGGAAATGTTAGTGCCATCAAGTGGCAAAGAATGGGTATTTCCAAATTCATCTTAAATTTGTATAACTTACTGAATATGCGTATTTTTGTGCTTTCCCCAGAAAGCATGTCTTTTTTAAATAAACATTTTAAAAGGCAGCTATTAGTAGTAAGTAGTTCAAATTTAACAGCTTATATTCTAGTCATTATACCTCTTTTAGAAGTTATATTAATTATGAAAGAATTGTTAAAAAATTATTCTCTGTAACTACTAATAGAATCCATATGTCTTTTGAAAATCTTCATAAGAATCTTCAAAACTAAAATAGGAAAGCTCATTGTGTAAAGATAATTGAGTTACTTCTGTGTTATAACATGACTTCATTATTGTTAAAATAGTCTTCTCCCTTGTCAAATTGAATAGAAGTTGGCTGACTATAAAGTACTATGACAAGGTGTGCTTTAGAAAGCTTTGTATTAGGTAACTGGTGGAACTAAATAGCAGTGGTGTAAGAGCAAGTGTTTTGCACAAGAATGTAAATGTACTTAATGCCACTGAACTACACATTTAAAAATGGCTGAAAATGCTAAATTGTATGTTATGTATATTTTATCACAAATATGTATATATGTTTATATATATAATCAGCTATAACAGAAAGGGAACCAACAACAAAATTTACAGAAGTTCGTGTGTGTGTATATATATATATATATATAATTCATTGGGATTATGATCAAAGTCCTAAATTCATGATATTAATAAAACCAGTTGTAAGCTTATAAAGTACCTGATTGATCAGGGAAAAAAACTTTTGTCAACTAACTAAAACTAGAACATTTCTGTATTTTCTTCTTGTATTTCATGATTTGTTCAGTTAAAATTAGATTTCTTATTTTAATTGTATTAATAAATTAACGAGTTTTGAGTTTTTTCCCCGAGCAGAAAATAAGATAGGTTCCATTATTCAAGCCATTAAAAGTATTTCATCCCTTCTTTCCTTGTTTTCAGTGTCATCAAAGTTTTTCTGAAGAACCAAGTAACAAATACTTTAGGCTTTGTTGCAACTACCCATAATGTAAAAGCAGCAGAAGACCATACATAAACAAATTAGCATGGCTGAATTCCAATAAAACTATTCATGGGCTCTGCAATATAATTTCATATTATTTTCACATGTCACAAAATAGTATTCTTTTGAATTTTTTTTAGCTATTTAAAATTGTAAAATTTAGCTCATAGACCCTCCAAAAATTCAGGGGGTCAGATATGACCCATTGGCTGTTTGCCAACTTGTACTTTAATTGATACTTTTTAATTACTTTATTTGAATGAGCTCCTACTTATGAACAATAAAACACAGCATTTCAGTCTCTAACTAGTTGTGATTTGTGTGACCAAAAATGGAAAGAACTTAAGTTTTTGAAATATAGTTTTTAATTGCAAATCATTTGGCCACCAATGCCTATTAAGAATATATTATTTTTCTGAGCATTAGTGTGTATTGTGGTCATAGTGTTTTAAATATTTGTTGTAAGTACCTGTACTTACCCCAGATCTGTTTTTAATTTGAAACATCAAATGACTACTGATTGGCACCCTTTAACTTCAGTAAGAGGAAAATCAGTAGTTTAAATTAAAAGTTAATCAAGAGTTTGTATGTCAGTATAATTTTACAACATTGTATATGTATTTAATTGGTTTTCTATTCTGTGAAATTAACAAAAAGGTGAATCATCAGTTTCTGGTTGGAGCAATCATTAATACCAACTCAAATTCCTTTTCTTAAAAAAATTGTTTTAATCATTCAGTTATTTTTTTACAGTAGACATTTTTAGATAATAAATAACTAGACCACATTAGGAGCTAAATACATGACTTTTTTATGCTTTAAATACATTTTAATTCTTCAGGTGAGTATGCCTTGGCAGCAGAACTATACAGAGAAGTGCTGCGTTCATCTGAGGAGCACAAAGCAAAACTCAAAACCGATTCAATCCAAGTAAGTAAAAACTAAGCAGTTTCAAATATATGTTCTATTTGTTTCTTACAAAATAATTTTTCTGAATATTTAATAAGATAAAGGGTAGCAAATGGACTGAGTCAATCTCTGGACATAAAGCTTGGGAATCAGTCCTCTTAATAAGCACCCAAGTTGATTTGCATATACACGGAAGTTTGAACATCACTACTATTTCATATGCTTAGGCCAGTATTGGCACAAGACTGATTAGATGAATCTACATCAGAGAAACAGTTCAGAGTATTTGTGCTTCAAAGAATGTTGTAAGCTTTATCATTTTGCATATGAACAGTGACATACTTATTCACATGGTTTTCACCAAAAAGAAGAGTTAAGATCAGCATCAGCAATGGAACTAAGCAATAATAAAACCTATCAATGATCTTATTTAACTTCTGATGTCTTTTAATGGAGATTTGGATATTTGAATTATAACACTTACTTAAATATTACAACTCTTTCCCTTTTTGGTTCTGCCCAGTGGATCATTTAAACAAAGCTCTCTATCTAAATGGTGAATAAAGACCATTTTTATTAATCTTGTTAAGTTTAGGCTTGAGTCCTTAGTAAAACTTCTTTACCATTCAGAATCTAGACCTTGGGACCTGCATGTTCCCATGTGCCTCAGTGGGGAATTAGAGTGTCTGGGGGAGAGGAAAGAAAATTAAATACAAATCTACTTATATTCTACATGGGTAAGGAAGGCAGGCCTTGGACCTTAAACAAATGTGTTTGCCTCATGAGAGAAGGAGGAAGTACAAAGGTATCACACTCCTAAGTAAAAGAAACAGAAGTAAAAGAGTGGGCAAGACAACTGATGAGTCATTATGCCCAAGTGCAAGAGTGAAGGGGAAGCAATCAACCTAGTTCTTCCTTTCGGTCCTAGTAACCCCACCTACTGGTAAAGCGTGGCCACAGAATGTCTTGCTCTGTCCAGAATGATTAGCTGTTCTGTTCCTTTGGCATAAAACATGTAAGCTGGTGGAGAGAGATAAGTGTTCTTCCCCCTCCATTCCACCACCATGTGCAGAAAGCAGAGTTCTGTTCCACAAGTACACAAGAAGTAGAGCTGAGTTGCTACTCCCCTGTTTGTCTAGTGTTATTTACATGTTTGTTGTTGATATTAACCTGACAGCGGTACTGACTGTATAATCTATGAAACCATGTTGAAAAGACCCCAGATATTCGACATAACTTTGAAAGGTTAATTCTGTAAAGATCTATCTCGTGGCCTGTAATTTATAGCAAAACAGAGTAAACATTTATAGTCTCCAGACCCCTGGCACCATATCAGATCTTTCCAGAAGGGTTATTTCCCCATCATCCTTTATCCCTTACATATCTTCCCAAGTAAAGTGTCAAGTTAACAAATAGAAGTCACTTTATTTCTTCTCACAGCCCTTGACTCTAGAGGGAGCCTCTAACCAGCTGCAGACTCAGTGCCACAGTGAGAAATTGATACAGAGACATAAGATAGTTCTCTCCTTCCCACACCATCTTCACTTCTATCTCCTCCCCTTGTCAGCCCTTAAGTTCAACAGATCCAGGTCATTACCATTTTCTTAGGTATTTTACTATCCTTATATTTATCATAATATAACTGCTGGGCTCATGCAGACTCACTTCCCAGAAGAGAAATCAAGTCTGTACAGTCAAGCTTTCTATTTTACTGGACTTATTTGGCATACTCATAGTTCCCTGTATAGACAAATCCATGTATAATAGAAGAAGTATGCTCATATGACATTCTGCTAAATGAATAGATGTATTCTATAAGACTGTATGTTTCTAATAGAAAATTTATGCCATTATGAAATAAAGACCTTTACTATAAAACTGACTTTGGTTTTCTTGAGACAGTACTCAAGTTGTTTTAGAGGAAACGTGTTCGGTGATCTGATCTTAATGTGGTGTTGGTACTCTGTATGCCATATTAATAGTAGGTTCTCTCTTCAGAGTTACACTGCATTGTTGTCACAGTTACTGCCCTTTGTGTGTTGTAGAGACTTCATGCTACACATAACTTGATGGAATTGTTGGTAGCCAAGCACCCAGGGATACCTCCTACCTTGCGAGATGGCAGACTTGAGGAAGAGGTAATTATTGCTTTTCATTCTGCCTGTAAGAGAATGTTTTTTTCAGACTTTATGCCCCATCTAACTAATTTTTCCTAAGGCATACTTTAAGTGAAGTTAGCCATGATTTCCTCTTTTGCTTTTATGTTCCAAACTTTGCTGATTTTGAGTGGCCAGCCGTGGCAGACTCCATATTAGTTTGCTTCACTGGTGATCTACTTGCAGTTATATAATCATTCCTTTTGTAGATACAGCTGTTGGTTGCCAACAGCACATGTAAATAAATAACAAGCAAAAAGGAGCCATGTTGTTGGCATGGCAGATCTGCAAAAGACATAGTTTAGTAAAAATAAAGTTTTGCATTTCCTCTACCATTCTGTATATTATGGAAGGCAATAAATAAACTGAGTTTCAGTGGTATTTCTCACGTCCTCAAAGACGTTCCTTCCACAATGAGGCTTGCCGTCATTGGAGATAGTGATATAAATTATTCCACTGTAATTTGTTAATGAGTATATCATGATAATTCCCCCATGGATTTTTGCCTCTTTAAAGATCAGAGATAATGGCATAGCTAAAATCTTTAAAGAGTAGTAAATATGTTTGGAATGAATTGAACCTGTAAGTGGAGCCTTTATTTGAATCAACAAGATAAAAGATGAGATTGTACAAATATGTACAGCTCTTTGTTGGTGTTAGATGGCATTCTGTGTTGGAAATTTCCAAGTGAAATTTCATTCCCAACTCAACCATCTAATCCTTGCATATGATCTATCACTGTTTAAGTGCCTTCAGTGACAGGAAACTCTCTGGGAGACAGTTCAGTCTATTAGTAGGCAGCTCTAATGACCAAATAATATAGCCAAGGAACTTTAATAGCAATTAATTAGAAAGTTGTGATAAAAAAAGAAAAAATGCATCATGAGAAAGAGGGTCGTGCCATATAAATATATTTCCAAGGAGGCCACATTATTGCTTTGCCTCGAATATGAAGGCACGGTATTTCAAAGCTGGACAAGATCCAAGCAATCATCTGTTTCAACTACTGATTTTTGCAAATGAAGTAACAAAAACCCCGGGAAATAAAATGACTAGTCCAAAGAGATGTATCTGTTCATTTAAACCTCATGAAATTGCCATGTTCTTGAGTCAGAAGTGGCTTAGTATAGACAAGTTCATGTGACTCAATCCACTACTATGTGGGAGCGTGAGATTTTTCTGTTCAGTAGTAGTCTTTCTAGTTTTCCTCCAAGTATCCCATCTAGCCTTTGATCTCCTCTCTTTATTCATAAAATAGTTTCAGAAACAAGTTAAGTATTTCAGTTAATGGAAGAAAGTGAAGAATTTTCACAAGTTTCCTAATGGTGATTTGGAAGAATAAAATTTTTCAATATTTCATTGACAAATAATATGGCCCTTCGATTTATCTGGAAAAGTTGAAAGGGGAAGAAGTTTAAATCCCTCTTGTATTAGTTCTCTATTGCTGCCATAACCAAATACCATAGACTGTGTAAATTCATTTCTCATGGTTCTGGAGATTGGCTGTTCCAGATCAAGATGTCAGCAGAGTTGGTTTCTCCTGGGGACTCCTCCTTGGCTTATATATGGCTGCCTTCTCGCTGTATCCTCAGGTGGCCTTTTCTTTGTGTGCTTGCAACCTTGGTGTCTTCTCTCTTCTTTTAAGGCTACCAGTCATATTGAGTTAGGGTTCCACCCTTGTGATCTCATATAACTACATTTCCTCATTTGATTACCTTTTTAATAAAGGCCTTACCAAG